TAACGCTGCAGCTGTGTTGTGCCTGTAGTAAGAATTCTTCAATGACGCTTGCGCAAATTCCTGTGTAAGTATCCATCACTAGGACATTCAGATTCTACCTCATAAAGGCTTTTAAGATGTTGAGTATGTTCTTCTTCAAGTCATGAAAAGAATTTGTGTTGTTGTTCCAACACATTACTTGCCCTAGGGAGGAAATTCTGCTCTATATTTTAGCAGTCCAGTCCTGTATCATGGTGCTGAGTAGGGCCTCAGTAAAACTACTGATATGCAGAAACAATACCGAGCATGAGAAAGGACTGTGAAAGAAAATTCCATGTGTTGGACAATTTGGTGGTTCCAGAAATGGAATTACAAGCAATAATTTGTATCTTAATTATTTGGACAATATTCTCAGGCACATGATGTTAATCCTGGGGACAGTCCTGTGCAGGGCTAAGGGCTGGACTCGATGGTCACTGTGAGTCCTTCCTTCTATTTAGTTGTGTCTCAACAATTTAGTTAAACTTTGTATTCAAGTGAATCCTCTTGGGTTGCCCTCAATATGTACTACCCTGGACCAACATAACTAGGATGTAAAATTTAGTAATTACATTTTTCAGAGGCATATATCTCGGCAGGTCTCCACCAAGTTGGTGGGCATCAGTTTCATACAATTGCTAGTAGATCAGAGCACTCACAGTGCTTCAGAATAACACTGGCCTTTCCTTTCTGTGCTAGGCAGCCCTTGACTTGTTTGGGACCGAAGAGATTTTTTAAGTTCTACTTCACAGAGTGGAACCAAGAAGTTATGTTTCCCATTTCTACTAAGATCTGTGTAGTTACGCAGCTTCTTCACCATAAGATCATGCCTTTGCTTGAGTGGTCCCAGCCTTGTACAAGCTTCCTGGAATGGCTGTTTTCTTCTCTAACATCACATCATAGTCCCTCCGCCTCTTCTCTACTTCAGCATTTTCTCCATTTACATCCATTTATGTTGGGATTATTCAGATCCTTCTTGTCAGACTCTTTTTATGGGCTCTCTCCTGATTATTGAAGAGCAGTTGCAGCACAGTCCTCTCTCACTTTTTTCTTGGTTTCTCCTGCTCCCAAAGAGGAAGGAAGGAAGATGCATCAGACACAGTTCAAGCTTCAGCCTTGAAGATTTGACCCTTTGTTTTAAACCATTTGTTTTCAGATACTCAGTTGTATCTTAGCCCTAATAACAGGCTTACCACTCTGCTTGTGATTTGAATGCTAAAGCAGGATACTAGCAGTAAAAGGGAAAAAGGAGATAAAAAGGTATACTGCTTCCAAGTACAAAGACAGAGCTAATTACTAGCTTGTCAATCTGATAAAGTGTCAATGAAGGTCTGAGTTGCAGATCATAGTGTCACCCTCCTAAAGTGTAAGATGTACAGATAATAGTAAAATATTGTATGTCACTGTCAAAAAGGATGGTTTAAGTAATATCTTAATAATGGCATGAAAGAGTTAATCCTGTTTTTTAAGAAGCAGTTTTATGTGATTTCTGGTACAACAGTAAAGAGAGTCAATTCCATATGCTAAAATAGTAACTGTTTAATTCAATGATTGTTTAATTCAAAACCAGAAACAGCAAGAGCTGATTGCTACCTTAAATTTAATAATAATTAATTTTGGGATAGCAAATTGTTATTAAGCTCAATTGCAATTTTAGAGTTTCTCTCAACCCTGTCTCCTTGCTTTGTCTTTCTCGGTCAATCCTCTTATTTTATAAAAAGCCTAGCTGCATCCTAAATCCATTTTACACCCTTGCCTTTTATTGCCTTGGCAGTTTATAATATAGCTCTTTTGTTTACTTCGTCCCCTAAATTAAATTTCCTATGGACCAGATCCTCAGCCAGCCTAAGCCGGTGTAGCTCTGTCAACAACCACCACTCAGCTGATCCAGATGAACGAGCCCCCTCCTATTAATCACCGGTCCTTTCCCCCATCCCCCAGGCAGATAGCTTGCACGGTATTGGCAGGGTTCCTGTATCATCTGTTCACTCACTAATAACACTATTCAGCATTTATTGGGCTGGTTTGGCTCTCTGCATGTTCAGCAGCAAAGCTGCTATTGATTGCGTGATGGGGAAGCAGTATCAAGCCATATTCTGAGAGCTCTGTGCAAACTACAACGCAGTTAATTCACTAATGGTTTATATTTGCCTCGCTTGTGTCACACATGGAGAAAAGGTTTCAACACCGCCAGAGGGGGGTGGGGGAGGTAGTTCACATGATCGTTGTTGGGAGGATTTGGGAATCGTGCCACAAAAGGCAAGCTGTGGGCTTTGCTCCAGCAAGGATACACCTTGGTAACTCCAAGGCACATTGCCAGAGATTATATAGTCTGCGTTGCCTGATTACATACATAAATAAAATTGCCAGATAAAAGCAGTATGAAAGACAAAATGTTTTCAGCAGAAAGAGTGAATATGATCACATTTTACACCATCTACACTCTTGCTTTCCATGAAGAAGAAAGCTGCACTAGTTCTACTATATTTTTAATAAAATGCTACTCTAAAAGGGTAATCAAGTTATTAAGAAAACCCGTATATGCTTTAAAGAACAGCACTGAGTGATTGACATGTTTGGCTTTAAATCAACTTTAAGGCTTCAAATTTCAGTATTATTAGAGGAGACTATAATGCTTCCTAAAGTCTCTCCTGATATTTTGCCAATGACAGCAGGCATTAAAATAACACAGAGTAACTTTAAAAAAATGAAAGAGTGCTTGGCATTTTGCTGTCTATGTTTTGTTTAGGTTTCCAAATGGTAGTACTTTTATCTAGGAAGAAAAATATATTCTTCGCAGGATTTAAAACCTATATTAAAAAGTCTTAATTCAAGTATTTTCATTATGTCATTTTTTGCAAATTTGGAAGGGTTCTGAAAAACTTACAAAGCTCATCCATGCAATTTTAAGCAGTGTATTACCTTAAATTAATTAATTATCTGTAGTTATTTTAAGGAGATAATTTTAAAGTGTTTTAAAGTGTTTGGTCTTACACCACTGCAGTTTTAAACACAGTATATAACACTACAGCGTAGCAAAATGCATAATTACAGATGCAGCTGACAGTGAAAGAATGGCATACATAAGTACAGATACAAGCACATATGCCAATCTCATTATCAGGTAAATATCCAACAGGGGGACAAAACCTGAGCCTAATTTGCTAATACTGTCTAAAAAGAGAAAAGCATAAAAAAGTCAAGGAAATGGTATATGTAGACTCATTTTCTCCCCAGCTAAATTACTTCTTCCTGAAATAAGCACAATAAAAATGTTCATTTTCCTTGACTTATATTCTGGAGCATGGCTTGGTTCTGTCTCCACTCTAAGAACAGTTTTAGTGATTTCACATACATACTCACCTTACAGGCTTTTAATCCCATGTAGATTTACATGCAGGGCTAGACTATTTACCTAGTTAGATGTGTTCTCTGCCTGTGGTAACCCCTCTTTTGTCATCTCATGCCACCCTGCAATGCTCTACACCATGATGTTCTGCTAGCTGCTGCCTAAATCTCATTTCATTCTGTGCTGTGCCCCTTTGCCTGCTATTGCTCACCTTCCCCTCCTCTTGCCTGTCTGAAACAGTGTGGAGTAGCACTGAGTGACTTGGCTTTGCACAGGGATGACGCACTGCTTTGGATCTGCAAGTGAGGCTGAAGGACTTGCATGTGCAGAGCACTGCTGGGAGGGCAGAATGAGGCTAGGTGAGGAGAAAGCATCACACAACAGAGAGGTAGTTAATGAATCCCTTAGAAAAAGTATTTAGAAGTCTCACTAATCCCTTCAGTAAAGAAAAAAAATGTCAGACCTCTCCATGAGTAAATTCCAGACCCAGACACATCCAGTTGTATGGCTATTTCTTAACAGTGTTCCACTAAAAGCATCCCTCAGCTCCCATGGCAGCTTCAGTAATTCAAACAGCTGCATGGTTGGGAGCCCAAAAGTATTGAATTCCTGTACTTCACACTGTTCCCTGGCAGTTGTCAATTGAAAAGCATTTAGCTTAGTTTATTTCAGAGCAAAAATTTCCCTTTGCCCCCCAAACACATGCTACTCTTCGGATCCGAAGGGCCAGAAATACTGCAGAGCAGAAGGCTGTCATCACAGCACCAGGAGGAGAGGAGCCAGGCTCAGGCATCCCTCTGAACCCAGCATCAGTGTGAAACGCTTTCTGCCTGACACATGAAGCACTCGATTCCTCACCTTACAGAGTCAACACTTAAACTTTGAAGGATGCAAATTTGGTGCCCAGCTATGACAAGATACAGTATTTACTACAGCATGTGGAGTCCAAGCTTCCTGGAACTGGTAAAGGAGCATCTCTGGCACTAGCAAACAGAACTGCTGAGGAGCCTCTGATTTTTGATGTGTTTTTCTAAGATGCAGAGTGGAAAATAAAAATACCTTCCCTCCCTAGCCTTCCTCTACCAACCTTTATACTTAAGATTCTTCAAAATAGAGGGGTTTCTAAGTTAGAAAGGAGTAAGCTCCCTGTATTAATAATTGTGCATGTGTTATGAATACAACAAAAGCTTGTGTAATGGGAGCCTTAAATGCTTTAAGACCTTATCAAATTGTCACCTGGTGGAAACAACAAGACTCCATTGTCTTATGGGAGCTAAACTCATTTCCTCGAGTAAAAATCTATTCCACTGGCTTTCAGCTCCTATATCAAGAAATAGTTTGTATGCATTTGCTTCTCTGTAATATGAGTTGTATCTTCTTGACTACTGAAAGTAGCTGAGAAGCGGAGAGAATAGGGTCTTTTAAACACGTTTTTCATGTGTTCACATGCTGTCTGAATCACATTTGCAGGAAGACATCAGCCTTTCAAGCAGAGCTCAAAGGATGTCTGTGGTGCCATGAGATCAGATATCTGTACTGCTGAAGGCCTCATGACTGTCTTAGCCTGTCACAATACTTAATTGGAAAATTATTTTTATTATGGAAACTGTTTTCTTTGGCTTTTCTGCTTTAGGCTCTTCAGACATACCAGACTGATCCTGCTATGAGAAAGATGCTAACTCAGCTGTATTTCTATATCATGCCTGTATTTAATGTGGATGGATATCATTTTAGCTGGACAAATGTAAGTAATTTCAGTATTATTACTCAAAAAATTATTCAGACGGGAAAGATCGAATGGTTGTACGTCATTCAAAGGTGACTTTCTGTATAATCTGGTCCATCACTTTTTGCCTTGCAAAATGGAAGTAAATTACTTCAGTTAAAGTAGAATACTGTATGTGTTTACTAGGGTTGATTTGTTATGTGTACAAATAGATATTTGCCAAAATATAGTACTATTGCTATTTAAATACTTTGTAACTCCTGTCAGGATCGATTTTGGAGAAAAACAAGATCAAAGAACACAAGGTTTCACTGTCATGGTGTTGATGCTAATCGCAACTGGAAAGTGAAATGGTGTGGTAAGTACAGAGGTGCTTTGGTCCCCCAGTTCAGATTACTCCGTATTTAATTATCCAACAGAGGCAATCATCCAAGTAGGTTAGATCACATCTGTTATGAAGTGTTCTCTTTTCCACAGTTAAAGATGAAGGTACTTTCTCATAAAGCCACAAGCCAAGGCTCAAATATTCCTTTTATGTTCTAAAAAAATAAAAGTCCTGAACTTTGGAGAAACAGACCTTACAATAAGTAAAAAGTTTTCATGGAAATTGTTGCAAAAGTAAAAAAATCACACATACAGCTATTCTGTATTTTGGCAATCATATAAATAATTTGAAGCCCAGTATTGAGACTGGTCCATCACTTTTCAGGATTCACCTGACTACAGCTTTAGGAAACATTTCAAACTTCATTTTATTCAATTCTTCATTTCTCTGAAATTATTTTAGCTTTGGAAATGTCGAACTTGCTTTGTCAGCCTCAGTGTTAAGGACTTCATTATTAGTGATTTAATACAGAAAGAAGGTGTTTCTAAATGCATGGAGATACAATTTAAATCTCCCAGCACTTTTGTAAATACTTACATAAAAATTGGCCTCAATTTTGCATAGAGAATGCAGCAGTAATGAAATAACTAGCAAAAGAGCTGAAATGGGTCCATCGAAGAAATAGTATTTGATTAAATCTTACAGAAGACAGTGCAACTCACACAGGTGTAAGCAGCCCTACAAGTTCTGGTGTAAGAAAGTAGGAACACTTTGTTATGAAATATGGCAATTTATACCTGCTGACCTACTCTCCCATCTTGAGCAACTTCCTTCACTTCTCTGTGCAGCTCTTTTCTCCTCCAGCATTAATCCACCTTCCTTATTTATACTGCAAGCTTGTAAAGGCAAGAAATTGTGTTTGCATAATGCTAGTGCAAGGGCCCTCCCTTCAGCCCATCCCTCTTCCTCTGGAAGTCTCTAGATGTTTCCACAATACTCTGATTACTTGCAGTAGGAGTGAGCACCGTGCAGTCTGGCTTGCAATGACTGGATTCTTCAAGTAGAGCTTTGAGAATTGTAAGGATAAAAGTGAGTGTGAATAATCTGCCTGGGAACTTTACAAATGCAGTGAGTGTGAACAGAAGCATACTTTCAGTATGGCCCAGTGAAATATGCTTCCGAATTTTTTCAATTCTACTTGCTGTAAGGAGAGGACTGACACAGAAGTAGTTACAGAAAGCCTATGTTAGCTGAGTCCCAGGGCCTCTAACACAATCTTTAATGCAATTTTATGCTGCAAAAATAATGTAAAAATGAACCAATCCTGCATCACTGCTACCATCACTTATTCAAGTGCATAAGTCACAACTGCAGGTATTTTGGGAACATACATTTACTGTTCAGAAGATAGCCACTGGCGTAGTTGGAATGATCAGTTCTTTTATGAAGTCTTTGGACACATATTTTAGGTACCTATCAGTGCAACATTAATACTCAGTGCATTTTCTTTCTAGTCCTAATTAATCTTTCTTGGGTTCACATCTCTCTGCTCCTCCCTTTTCCTGCTCCCTAGCCACTGTATTAGAGCACATTTTTACTCAGTCCTAAAAATAATTGCTTAGTTTTCATTTAAAAAAACTATTTTTTCTAGCCTGAGTGAAACTGTCATAATACCCACATGCCTTGTGTGTTGTAATCCCCTACTTGTTGCATTTCTCCCCTGCACTGAACATGAAAGACAGGTCCTCGCCCGAGTTTAAAAAATAAAAATTCTTTCAAGGTTGCTCATCATGCACATGCTCTGCTTCCCTCTCTGGAACCCAAACTCTGTCTGATTCTCTGTTTTGATGGAGAATAAAGAGCTCTTTCATGAACTGGGCTGACTGGTGCTCAGAAGGTCCTGGACACTAAATGAGTCAGAGAAGAATCTGGATCATATCACACTTTGAGGCTTGCATAATCATGGTGTGTTTAACATTTAAAACTGCATGTGCTTGTAAAACCTTTTCATTCAGTTCAGTCGCACTGACAGGCTTGAACTTCACTGTGGGGCTTCCAGGCAGGTATGTTGTGGCAGAATCCAGCCCCAGCAAAGCCGCTGCAAGCTAGCAGCAGGGAGCTAGTCAGTACAGATATCACAGCATCCTCTCTGCTTTCCTCTTCCCTGCTAGTGTAGGACTTTGACGTAAACTTTGTGATATCACTTCTGTATTCTCTAGGGACCAAGAAAAAAGTCATATCACTGATTGTGCTAGATTTCACATTGCAGCACCCTTGTACCCAAAATAGCGCACAGAAATTGCGCACAGATCCATGTGAATACTGACAGCAAAAACCCTGGGAATGCTCCTTGCAATACGTACATATGTGCAACAACCAGCACAATGGTTTAATGATAATGAAATAAATATCAACTTTAAAACAAATAATGAGGTACTTAGAACTAAATTGTGTCATAGGGCAAATCCAGTTAAAGGGGTTGCATCCAAATCCCTGTGGGAGCAGCAATGGGAGTTAAAATTTCCAGAGCATCCCAATTTCCCGTGCACCACAGTGCTCACTGAAAACAGTACCCCATACTGGCAGAAGTGGCTGCAAGGAAGTTTGAGAATCATGCTCCAGCTCATCCATCCTCTCAGTCTTCTTTCTGTATCAAAGCATTGGTTTTATCAGTCTCAGCACACATTTCCTTTGTTCGCTTGATCTCATGATGGATGTTGAAGGATACCTACTCCCCTGGTATGCTATCAGGTACAAAAATAAGGCAGCACGGTAACATTTTACACAATTCCATTTGCTTCTCATGATTGTAACTCAGAAATTTCACAGGATTTGCTACATACTGTATCAATTTTTTTCCTTCTTGAGTTACTTTGAAAGAACTTTCAGTATGAAAACTGAGTATATCCTTACATTATCCAAGGCCACCATTGAAACCCTCTTTCTTTACTACAGCCAGCTTCTCTTAAGGTAAAGCATTAACTACAGCTGGGATTTCAAATAGCTTACAGTAATGGGCTGGAAAGTTTAGAAAGTTTTTTTCTTCACTGAAAGTCACTAAACTGAGTCATATTTTTCCATTGGGTCATTTTACCCTTAGCTTGTAGGATTCCACTGTTTATTAACAGTGATATTCATTTCCATGATTTGGTATACACTGTTACAGGAGATGAAGTATCCATAAAAAAAAGCAAAGGCTCTGGAGGGTCTGTTAAATAGCTCTCCTTTAGCTATATTATCTGACAAGACATTGAGGCAGAGTGCTCTTGAGATTTGGATGACTTGGTGGCCATCTGTTCTACATGGAAGATACCATCTGCCCTCTATATAACCCTTCCATATCCACTGCAATCCAAGCACTAATACCTTTTGAAATCCCCACCTGTGGCCACTGAATGGTAGCCTCAATTTTCATCTTAAAATGAAACTGCAGCAGGAAATTCTTCCACTTTTTAATTTTGGCATTATGTTGATTGCATAACCCTGGTTTAGTTGATATCTTTATGTCTTCTCACACACTGCTCTTTTCTTATTAATTGAAGATGGCAGTACTTACTGTACAAATAAAACATTGCTTTTGTAAGTCTCTAATGGCATCAGGAAGTTCTCAAACAAATTATTATTATTCTGCAGGTCAGTGTAAAACATGGTATTTTGAAATCACAGCAGACAGGAGAGGAGTGGATTTGCATAAATATTGTTCTTTCAGGCCCAAGCCCTAAGCTGTAAATGAGATGATGGCTTAGATACAGAATTGCTAAATGATAAAGGAGCCACCACCACATCCCCTTTTCTAAGTTTCATCTTTCAGTACCTCACAGGATATTAGAAGTAGGCTACTCTTGTGCAGCTTGCTGCCACCTGAGCAGGCTGATGTAGTGAAAGATATCCTCAAAACTGAACTCCTGCCCCAGACTTGAAGGAAATTCAGGCCCTGTACAAACTGAGATGATTTCTATTTTAACTAACTGAGTGATCATCTCATGTGGCTTGTCATTTTTTTCCCCACAAGGTTTGCAAGGGTGAAAATAGTCTAGTCAGGAACTATTCTCATGTTTTAAACCAGTCTCTAAGGTAACGCCTGTTGAGGTTATGTACCTACGATTGTAACCACCGCTGTAGTAACCAGTACATTAAAATGCTCTTAAAGGCTAGATTTGTCTTGGTAGTGATTAATAAAGAGGTATAGCTCTCTGATTTCAAACAGACCAACTGAGACCTATCAATAGTTTTAATAAGGGAATGCTGTCTAAAAAGTGCTACTGATACAGAAAGCCAGGGAAGAAAGGACAATGAAGTCAGGCTCTCCTTTTTCTGTTGGGTTTGAAATATATCCTCTTGGGAGAACTGCCCGTAGTTGGCCAATTGGAAACTCGTTGTGTCTACTAGATGAACAAGCAGATTGCTGTACTGAGGTCCCACTGACTCAAGCTCATCAGTCACAAGAAAGCAATGTGTTTATTGCTTTTCATGCTTTTTGATGGGGGCCAAAAAAGGTTGAGCCAGAAGCTGACCCTTGGAAATTCTCTGTGATCGTTCACCATCAACTTTCTCTTTCAATCTCCAGATGAAGGTGCTTCATTTCACCCATGTGATGACACGTACTGTGGTCCCTTTCCTGAGTCTGAGCCTGAAGTAAAGGCTGTTGCTCATTTCCTTCGCAGACATCGGAAACAAATAAAAGCCTACTTGTCCTTCCATGCATATGCACAGATGCTGCTGTACCCTTACTCTTACAAGTATGAAACTATTCCAAACTTCAGCTGTGTGGTAAGTACATTAAAACTTGGGAGAATATGCTCCCTTATATAATATTTGTTGTATGTTTTGTTTTGAGAGGAGACTTGTTTCTTCAATACTTTGCATATATTTAACATTGAGAAGTATTTATTCTGGATTTGCCTGCAATCGCATTTCTGGTTATATAACCTTCACTCACCATGAGTCCGTAGTAATTTGATTAAAATGGTATAGTGCTTTCCATCCATCAGTCCCTTTAAATTACTTTATAGGATAAATCCCTAGGTTTTAATTATAATTATTATCATTTTATTTAATTAACTGTAATGGGAATTATGTAGTCAAGTCCTTGGGCATGTAGCTAAAATTCTGTCTCTTCATGCTCAGAACTTAAACACTAGGATCATACAGTAGATCATCTTCAATGTTATGAACAAAAAAAAAATTGAAATTGTTTACATTTATCAGTTCAAGGAGAAATCTTTTGATTTCACCAAAAGTAAAGCTTCAATTGCATTATGTATCATTCTGCTTAGACACAGTGCTTTTAACTGTTTAAGACAAGCAGTTAATTAACATCAGAGGCTTCTGTATATTAGAAGAATAAAGTGATAAGAATACGTTTTCTGATGGAAGCGTATTGATTTAGATACATACATTTCATTTATTTCATGCTCATCCAAATGCAGAACTGTTCCCTCTGCTTGCAGTCTGAGGTCTGTTTTAGCCATCCTCCTGTTCATAAAACCCTCCTTATGGCTTATTCTCTTAGGGAAATCTGGCTAAGCTTTGCTTTCTGTTTGCTCCTGCTCACAGACCCACACTGCATCAACCAGTTGCAATCCTCTTTCTGTCACACTCAGTCCCCAGTAAAATTACATTTTCCATGTATCTTCCATTTTTACCTTGAAAGCTGCAAGTTGCAGTGACTTTTAACTTGCTAGTTTCAGCTAGTTTTCTCCAAAGGAGCTTAACTGCACCTTAGATTTATCCTATGCAGAATAAATGATGCTGTCAGTCCCTGGAGCTTCACTGAAGTTTCAGTTGGCTGCTCTCTCAGGAGGCTGAGCAGCCAGCACTCCACAAGCTAAACTCTCCTTGTAGGTTTATTTCTGTCGAGACACTTAATTTCAGCAGCTACTAAACATTCTTCTGTCTGACATCATTCCTGTGGAACAGAGCAAGTTAGAAGTTAACTAAGCAGCCAAAGGAGCTAAAAATATGAGACTTGTGGGGACTGACCACCCAGCCCTGTATCGACTGTGAATAAAGTCATGAATCTTCTTTTTATTCTACCTTCTCCACCCTCTTTTGGGGAGTAACACTGAGAAAGGAGTTCCCCAAGTGAATTGATGACTATTACTTACCAAAAAGACATAGACTGACAATTTAAAACAACAGAATCTAATTCCTTTGAAGACAGCAGATGCAAGAATATTTTTTTCGGAGCAGACAAGAGAGAAGGTAGTAAAGACATGGTGTTAGGAAGAACCAGCATCTCCTCTGCAAGTATATAATTATTGGGTATCTTATGAAGATACCCAGAGCAATGTAAGGCAATAGCAGACACTATAGACAGGAAATTCATTGTAAGGAGAAGGAATGTCTAAAAGAGAACACACGCCAGTGTATCTGCAGTACAGTTTTTGTTGCTCAAGGGATGTTTCCATTCTGAGACAGGAAGTAACTGCCCTGTAGCACACACACACTCTATCTTTCCATCCGTAGCTTTTAGACTAAAGGATCCCAGGTTTTGATGTTTAATAGGTGTTCCTAAGGTTTGTGAGGCCTTGGATCAAGCTCCTCACTGGAGGGTGTGAAGCACAGACCTAAAGGAACGAAGAGAGACACTTGTTTTAAACAACAGCCCTGGACAAATGGAAGCCAAATCCCAATTCTAAATATTTTGCTAGTATTTGGACCTTGTACTTCTTTTTATTGAGGTGGGTCAAAAAGAACAAGGAGGTTGGAAAAAGAAACTGAAGTAATTTCCTGTAATTTATAAAGCTCGTTATGGGGATCACAGTGAAAATTAATGGAATATAGTTGCTTATTTATTTGTGTGTTTTAATATTTGCCTACAACCAAACTCTCCATCACCTGGTAGCTCCTAAATGAATAGTTTTTAATACTTGAAGTCTCTAAAACGGTGACTTAGGGTGAGGTTTCAAATTCTCCATTTCTCTTGGAAATTACACTGAGTTAGAAAGCAATGGATCTCTGTTTCCTGACGCTGATAGAACAAAGGTTGTTTGCCTACATGGACTGTGTACAGTGGAGAACTGTAGGACCCCACATGCATAGCAGATAAATAACATTTGGTGCTAGCAAGGGGACACAATTAATTCTGAGCAGTAGAAAGGATGTTTCTGCCTGGGCCGGATCATTTTAGTGAGCTGTCAGTTACCGTTTCGATTAAAGTGCTCAATTATTCAGAGCTGCTTTGAAACTGGAGAGCTGTGTACTGATCACAACATGCATATTCTGCTCTAATTTAGGCACAACTCTCTTATTAACATTCCCCTGAAATCTGTTCTTTTAAAATACTTAAAATAAAAGTAATCTTTCAGATTGAAAAAAAACAGCAGAAACATATATCTATCTCAAGACTTTTAAATTTCACCTGCTTTTCATCCCTTTTCTTCCTGTGTAGTCGTTTGCCTTAGTGTTTGCAGTGAACTTACATGGCATGACTGAGTTTGCATATGTCTTTGTAAAAATCTGGTAATTTTATGTGGCATTTTCTCCTTGAGAGTGTTCAAATACTGGTTGCCTGGATTTATTCAGGATCCAACCTGCACAGTATGATGTGGTAGAGAATTGTCCCTTTGGGCCCATAGCTCCAACAGTGGAAGCAAGCTGCACCCCTCAAGGCTAAGAGCTTCAAGTCGACAGTGCCCAGGGACACCTGCCTAAGTGGTGGACTTGGACTTGGACTTGGACTTGGGATGCTCCCGGCCTGACCTCCAGACAGTTGCTGCCTCTGCACAGAACCCAGTACCATTGTGATGATTTTAAACAGGCGTTGCCAAACTATTTCTTTGAAAGATTTCAACAGGACTTGCTTCTGTTATCTCATTGCTGTACAGTGTGTAAATTATGCCCAGGGTGCCTTCTTGTCTGTGGCTATGTTCTCCTTGCCACAGCATATTTACCGGGGCTTTGCTCTCCACCCCTCTCAGCTGTCTCAGCTGAGCCCTGCCTCCTGCTTCCTTGGCATCAGGCCTATTTTCAGGCCTATGTCAGCCTGACCACACCACAACCCTGGCATGGTTAAGCAGAGCTGCTTGCAAATTTTGGTTGAGCAACTGAGCCTGGTACTTGGGACTTCAGTGCAGGTATGAGACAACAGCCCCAGGCTGCATCTGGAGCTCCCCACTCCCTGGGGCCCTGCGCAGCCCCACGGCCACTGCCCCAACAGGTCCCAAACAGGTCCCAACAGGTCCCAACACCTCCAACCCCATCATGGGTCTTGCATATCACAACTCAGAAGTCAAGGCATCTGGAGGAAGAGTGCCAAGTGATAGCACTTACCCCTTCCACCACAGGACAGAGCCCCTTCCCACCTCCTCATCTTTGGTGTTACGGTGAGTCAGAGGTTACCCCTCACACCAGCTGGTGGCCACATCCCAGTCCAGCTGAGTTCCCAGAAGCATTGAGTTCAATGGTCCTTACCTCCATATACTGTCTCGTGGAGGTGGCAAGAGGCCAAGCTGAAAATGTCAGTCTCCAGCACCATCATCCCTCTGCTGAGAAACAAACAAACAAAAAATCTGGTTGTGCTTAACAAATTTTTATAATGGAGTAAAAAAGTGCTCTTCCATTTGCTAAGAGTGTAAAATAAACTCTCCAAAGCCCCATCTGCAGATCAGTAAGTGATTTATTTTTGTTTCTGGAATGACATTTTTAAAGCAGTTTTTCCTGGCTTCTCTACTCAGACAAAGACCCACAGCAGGAATACCTGCATGGGTCAGACCAAGGATTAAGTCAGAATCCCAACTCCTGAGAAAGGCAAACAAGTGGAAGGTTAAGGAAAACATAAACAGAAAGGCAAGTTTAGAGTAACATTTTCCCAGTGCATTCATCTAGAGCCTGATGAATAACAAGGTAAGGACTGAGTTCCTGAAGATTTGCATAAACACAGACTTGCAGCTCTTTAGTTCATGGAAGTAAAACAACTAAAATAACCATTATAGCTTTACCCAGTGATTCAAAGTCCAGCTGTTTCCAGCTCCTAAGATGATAATTTCCTGTTCTCTATAGGGAGATGGTTCTGTGTTTGCCCAGCCTTCACTGTACATTCTCCAGCATCCTTTTCTTTGGGATGATAATATTCATTTTTCTGTTGTGCATCCCTTCTCTATGTTTGGGTGCACTATCCTTGTGTGACCCTTAGAATTTGCTATAGGCCAGGCCGCCTGCACCCAGTTGCACAGGATGCTGTGAACCTCCTAAACAAACTGCATCCACACAGCTGTTGAAATGCAGGTGCTGATTTTCCCCATACAGTACTGAAATCACATTTGTGCATTAGTGCACAAATGCAAGACTGCATCATGCAGCCCAGCATGAGAAAGTTAGACCAGCAGTGAACATTCACCTGGAATTTGCCTCTTTCCTTCTTCCCACTCTGCTCACTGAACCACTGTGGAATGCCAACAAGACATCATTTCGCCTTCACAAGCCCAACAGTGACAAGGTTTAGTGGACTGGGAAGTGCAGCCACAGAAGACGCATGCATGGCTTTTAAACTGTATAAAAAAGAGATTATTTCATCTCATGGTTTCACATGTTGCCTAAATTCATCGTATCACTAAATCGATATATACAACTTAAATTTACAAGTATTTAATGTCTGGTCATTCACAGTGCAGTGAGCTTCTTTATGCCATGAAGATATCAAAACAGGATTCTCAGGGAACTGCTGTCAGTAAAAAAAAAAAAAAATTATCCTTTATAGTAATTTTAAGTTAGCTGCCACAGTCTTATTTAACACAGCATTGCACCAGAAGACAGTGATCCATTGACTCAGATTCCAATCCCATTACGCTATTTAATTTAAAGTCTAATTTATGTATTTGTTTTTCTCCTCCTTCCCAGGAATCAGCAGCCTATAATGCTGTTAACGCTCTTCAGTCAGCCTATGGTATAAGATACAGATACGGTCCTGCTTCTAGCACTTTGTGTAAGTTTTCCTCTGGCAGATTTTGTGACTTTGACCTTCCTATGGTAAGAAGGAGAATACCCTTATTATAACAAATAAAGCAAACACTGTTTAAAGTGAACTTTGACCCAGTTTTGGGTTGTGAGGAAGGCGGAAGACAAACTTTTGCAGCTGATTCAGTCAGTTGATTGCAGTAAGATTAACTCAACTGATGCAATAAAAGAGATTAAACTGCAATGCATATGAGAGGCAAAAGCCAGTAAATATTCATAACATATAAAACCATATTTTTGAAAAAAGAAAGATAAATTAAGGTCTTAGAAAGCATATCATTATCTGCAAATGCGCTACTAAATTGTAACAGCATTTGTCAGTCAAGCTCTCTGTTGACAGGTAAGAGAAAAAGAAGTTCAACAGGTTTCAACAAGACACTTTTTTTTTCTTTACTGAAACTATGAGGCCTGCATGCTGTGGATAATGATAACAGATACTGAAAAAGTGAAAAGCTTAAGATTTTTCACAAGCAACTTCCTGCATCTCCTCTGCTGTTGCTGTGTTTTGGCTACAGTTCCACTTATTGTGGGCCTCCATCTCACAGCATGATCATCTTGTTGTGCTCATTACAGTGCAGTCAGTCCTATGTTAAAGGAAAAGCAGTGTGAATTAATGCCAGAATTGCAGAGACTACAGCAGGCCACGTGAGAGATGGATCTTTATATAAATACGTGTCTTGGGTAATCAACTTAGGGAGACAATGAAAGCATAAGCAGCACACTTCCTCAGGAAGGTTTGTTAATATTAGACACCACCTATGCAAATGCTCTCATGCTGTGAGGAAATGGTGACAATATAAGACAAATGAAAATAATTTTAAAAGCACTTTAAAAAGGAGAAGTTAGATTACTTTATCAACTGTTCCTCTTCTCCCTGAAAAGGAATTGCACACAGAACTCCAGTTCAGCTGGGAGATCATTGTGGAAGGAAAGCTTTAGACTGCACTCAGATGAGGACGGGAACAGTCTTACACAAAACAGTCAGTTATAATATTTTTCTTATGAAAATCAAGGGTCTAATCCATATCATGCTGAGCACCTTTCACCAGGTGCTGGGTGCCCATGCCCTTCTCGAAAGGGTGTTCAGGATCAGAGCAAGCAACAGTTTGAGTTGCAAGTATATTCACTGAGTCCCGGAGACAAAATGCCACATGAACCTTCTGGTGCTTTCAACATGACCTGAATTTAACATTTTTTAAAATTTTCTCTGAATTTCCTCTTTCAGATGTGAGTTCTGGCAGCTCTATGGACTGGGCCTACAAAAATGGCATCCCCTACGCATTTGCATTTGAGCTGCGTGACACTGGCCATTTTGGATTTTTACTTCCTGAGACGTTGATCAAACCAACCTGCACAGAGACCATGCTTGCAGTTAAAAATATAACTCTTCACTTGCTGAAGAAATGTCATTGAGAGGGAGCTTGAAGTGAACATTTTATTCGCAGTGCTGATGCCTTTCAGTGCATTCAGTTGCCATTCTAAGCTTGGCCACTTCAAAATTCATGAAGCTAGTGGGAAACATGCTATTGTTTCTACCAGATTTACTTGGTGGGAAATGGAAAAAAATCATTTAATATCTGCTCTACAGAAGTCCATAAAGTTGACATACTAACTTAGCTACCAGCATGGTGTAAATAGTTTCTTCTTTTTGCAATAAAGCTTTAATTTTGCAATTTCAGTGGGGCAAGTCCTGGTCCACATAGAGATGCCTGAAATAAAGTTCCACTTCCAGGCAGGCCCTAGCCTTACTCCTTTCCCTAATAGGAAGACATCTCATAGTGGAATCTCTCGAATCAAGGGGTAAAGTTTACATTTATGTGAATGTACTCTGTGACCCAACACAGGCCTGTGTCCACAGCAGTAAATGCCATATAGTGGTAGCTGCAAGTGGCAATATGGCTCTCTTCTGCATGTATACATACATACATACATGTATGCACTTTTGTGATTTTTTTCATATTATGCAATAATTTGTCCCAGGGTTTCCTTTAACTGTTCAGAGAAACCTATTTTCAAATGTATATATTGGGACTCAAAATCAATATATCGTCTTTGAAAATGTAACTTTCCTAGCAATGTGTAAGAATTATAATGGAATATTATTGAGATATACAATACTCTGCTTTATGGAGAGACAAAGCAACTTGCCATGACTTGGAACTTGGAAGCTGGCAGTCAGCTGGTGCATACAGGCTCTACTGTAGTCAATGATTGCAGCAATTTCCACCAGCCAAGGATTTAGCCTTAAACTGTAATTAACTGATGATAACTGATGTTTTATTTATCAGTGTTCTTGCAGTAAGTTCTGCAGCTCCATGGCTATGTGGCTTTTCCTCTTGGAAGTTTTATATTTTTTTTTGCATGTTTTAAAGGAATTAATAAATTCTTAATAGATTTTTAAGTAAGCCAGAGATGAAGGCAGAAGCCTTACAGCTCAAATACAGTGAATAAGCACCATGTTTGAAAAAACAATAATGAAAACACAGAGAAAATAACAACATGTTGAGGGGGTTTTGGTACTTTTAAAATACTATTTTTTAATCTTATTATATCTGGAAAAGCATATATTTTACTTTATTAATTTTGAGTTTAATCTTATAACATTACATGTTAAATAAAACATGTTTGTTAACAAAATCATCAAAGACTTTTGAAGTATTCTTCATATTTCATTTAAGTGTTAAAGTTATAGTTCAAGAATGTAACAATTTTACCTATCTGTGAAACATTCCTGACACTAAAGATATGGTATTTTAAAAAACCTACATCCTCTCTAAATAAATACTTGAACTTAGCAAATGGGCAATCTTTATAAGTCTAGGGGGCACTGTATTTAATTAAGCACACCATTGGTTTTGCGTACTCTTTTGCATATTGCAAAAGGCAATCAGTCAGAAACAATGACAGAATTTCATTCTATTTGTCTAACACTTTGTTAATAAATGTATTTATTTTAAACAGGATTTCTGAAAGCTCGTTCAGGTTTTTTTAGTTCTTTCTGGTTTGAGTAATTCAAGTTTCTATTCTGGTTTATTAAAAACCTAGGGGACAGTAGCTCTCAAAATATCTATACATTAGTAATTTCCAATTCCTTATGACCATAATCATTTAATATTTTGAAGACAGCAATAACTGTCTTTTGCTATGTACAGATTCTTGACCAATGGCCTTGATAGGGGTGTAAATTAATTATTAGCACCAATTGTTATGAGTTATTCTGGATTTAGGTGACAAGACTGAACTGCTACAACGACATAAGAGACTGAAATGAAGGACAGAATGCATGATGAATGTCTAATCAGCATGAGGAAAATTTACCTTTGAATTGCTACAGTACAATCATGGAGAAACCAGATTCTGATGTGGTGGTTTGGTTCCTGCTTGTAGTTCAATAGTTCATCATATGAAACATTTCAGTTTCATCTTTATACCATTACAACTCCAGTGGTAATGAAAAGTAATTGAAATCTTGGAGCAAGAAGGGGAAACAAAAAACCAACCAAACAAACACATCTTTTAGTTACCAAAAGAACCAAACACTGTAGATCTACTTTACCTTCTTGGAGAGGAACTTGGAGAGAACTGTAAGTATTCTTAGATTTATGTATAAAGCTTTGACATTTAGAAGTACTTAATATCAAAATCAGTCCATGAACAAAGCTACATGCTAGTATCTGGATGGACTCCACCTGAATACTATGTATGATGTGCAACTGAAAAATCTGACCTGATTTTTGAAAACCTGTGCAGGGTTATTTAATGCCCCACAGCTGAATACATGTGTAAAGTCTCTTAGCCCTTTAATTTCAGGGTCATTAAAGCTGATGGAAAGGCAGTCACTAAGAAAGAAAAAACCCTATTTCCTGAATTAAAAATCTGTAAGACAATTTATCAGCAAGAGTGATTCTAAATGGAGTAGTTTACCCTAAGGAAAAAACTAATGGAAATCAGCTATTTGGATATGAAATCGCAGCCTTTGTGACTTCTCTGAACAGCTCTTTTTTATGTCTATAATTGCTTAGTTCTCTTCCCTTTGTACTTCTCTTCAGCAGTCTTTATTGGCTATAGGACAACAGAACTGATAGCTGGTTTTGAGAAAAGTGATTTTATGATCATGCATACAATTTATCATTCAACACAGGCAAAAGTACATGAATAGCGAAAAGCTGTTTATTAACCCAGCAGTCAAAATCACATATATAGTGATTATGTGAAATCCAGAACTTACACTTCCATTGATTATTGATAAAATAGTTACAACTGCTTCTGTAAGTTGGAAAAAGTGCTCAGACAAGCTTTTGTGAAGATCCGTTCTTTTTTTTTTTTTGGGGTAGCTTTTATTTTTTATAAACAAACTTCTGAGATTAATTAATGGGAAGGAAACAGGTCCATGCCTCTTTGAGTCACTCTTCCCAAAACTAATTATCACAAATTACATTAAATCATCATTCATAAATTAAAAAAAAAAAATTGGCCTTTATAGGTCAAAAAAGGTATTGAGTTTTGTTGCAAACTTTGAAGAAAGAGCACAGCTGATGGCTGAAGCTTCCTTGGGTATTTTTCAGAAGTTGCTTCAAAAAGGTCAACGTATTTGGTCACTCATAATATATGAAGCGTATGGGAAATGACAATTCCTTTTTGAATTTTCTGAAATTTGAATTGAAAGAGTCTAAATGACCTTGAATGCCAACATCCATTTACATCCAGAGTCAGTCCACTAGTTTATAACAAACAGCAGTGTGCAGACTGCACTGCCTACTCCAGGACTGCACAAAATAACCCTTGACTGACAAGACTGCATCTAATTCTTAAGGCTGGGAAGAAAGCATTGTATTTCCTACCAAAAATAAGTTACTATTCAACTGTTCCAGTTTATTCATGTTAAACAATCCTTTCCCTTTTTATGTTTACATTCAATTTAATGGTACCACTCAAACAATATGATACTTGTAGCACAAGTAGGGTAATAAGTACTTTGTAAGCACTTCGACCTTTCCTTTGGTTGTGCAAAACTACTATATAATTTCCACAGTTCAGTGTAGCTGTCACATTCAGTCTCTCACATAATGAGTTCATATTTTTGACCTCTGTGTCTAAAAGCCAGATATTACCATTTTGATGCAGTTCTTAAATGATGGTAAAACACCTGAACAATATCTCAGATGCACAGAGATACAACTACCTCTCTGCTGTAGAAAACAGGACAAGAGAACAGAAATTTAAATAAACTACAGAAAGACTTTTTAAATATTAAACCCTGTGACATTAGGTATACTTCTTAAAAAAATTTGTAAATGCTTACCACACGAGATACCTTTTCTGTCTTTTTAAGTCTTCTGTTCATGGAAAATGTAGATCATTTGGAATATGCCTGACTCTCAAAATCATTCAGAATAAAAAATTTAGGTCCAAACAGCTGTGATTGCTTCCTCCTTCACTGTGTAGGAGGGAAGCTGGGTGCGGAGAGAGCTGCCTTCTGGCTGACTGCAACGATAGACTTTCCAGCCCAATCAGCAGCACCAAGTCAGGAGTACTGATGCTGTTGGTGGGTCTGACTTGGAGGAAGGGGAACGATTCCAGAACAGTTTTCACAGTTTTCAGCTGAACGTGCCTGTCACCCCAAGCATGATTTGCTGGTTGAGCAGCTTGTCAGAAATTCACAGTCTTAGGCTGCATGTGGTGTCAAAAGGGCCTGCCTTAACAACAAGGTCTTCTGTTAACATTTGCAAATTTGGGAACTAGCACAGAGCTAACATATGTGTGTCCTTAGCAAATGATGTTTGGGTCAAGGACATTGAGAATTGGGAAATCTTTATCCCCTGTATGTTTGTCCTTGCCTGACAAGCTGGAGCAGTCAAGTAGAAAGTCTCAGCTCTCTCCAGTTGCAGGTCCTTTTGAGCCCTCTCGCAAGAAACCAAGTCAAGCACAGCAGGGCTTGCCCTTGGATTCAGACATCAGGGAATCCACTCATAAATAATTGATTAAAATTTTAATTAAAAAATCTGCCTCTGTCCCTGGCCATGCAGAAAGCACACTTTGTCTGTGACAAGGAAAATCCATCCATTGCCATAAGATGTGGGGTAACCTATTCCATCTGTCCTGCCTGCTCTGGGAGTCCAGCTACCTTAGCACTGCCTGGTCTTATTGAAAAAGACAAGAGGCAGAATAGCCATAAAAATGAAATATTTTAAAATACCTCCAGGTCTGTAGGACCATATGCTTTATATCAAATAATAGATAACAGCTTCTGAAATAAATATTGTGGTATGACTGTGAGCAAGTGTTGTAGTCTTTTGTGCTAACTACAACGTGCCAGGCTATTCCTCTGCATACCAGGATGGATCAATGCTAGGAGGACTGTCTCTTTTTTTAACCAAATAATGAAACGTTTTTCCAAATTGGAGTAGAATATCAAGTTAGGTCTGAAGA